ACAGTGGCACTCCTTATACAACACATGAGTATCAACAGGAAAGGAAATAGGACATGTATAACGACCATCACAGAACTGCAACTTAGAGGCAAAAGGAGAACACTGTGTAACATTTAGGATGGCGAACGTTACAAAGTCTGATCTCTTAAATGAAAGTCCGTGCAAGGACACAGCTACCAGAGCAGATAGGCCACAGACAGCTTAAACAACCCTGAAATTGTTAATGATATCGCATTTCTAGTTCAAAACTTTCCTATAAAGAAAACTACAAGGCAATATGGCGCCAGTGGTAAATTACTACCAAACATTTATGAAATAATTCTAATTCTTCGTATATTCCAGAAAATGGAAAATAAGGAAAAACTTCCTAATAGTAAGTTAGGACAGTATTATTCAGACAACAAACCCGAAGAAAAGATACAAGGAAACAGGGATAGGGAAATGGCTCGCTCAGTGTGCAAGCATGAGGACCTGAGTCTGGATCCCCAGCACCCACATAAAAACCTAGATGAAGCCTTGTGTAACCCTAGGGCTGAGGCATATTACACGGAGACAAGAGGATCATCAGGGATCAGTGGTCACCAGCCTAGTTGAAAAATGGAAACTGCAGGTTCAGTGAGATATCCTGTCTCAAGGAGACAAGATGGGACATGATAGAAGAGGGCACACAACATCCTCCTCTGGCCTCTGCATTGCACGTACATGGGTGCACACAAATGCATACACACATGTATACACATGAATGTACTCCCACATACAAACACAAAAGAGCAAGAAAAAAACCCCTACAGACCAATATTCTTCATGAAAATATAAGCAAAATATCCTTTAAATTTTTAAATAAACAAATAGTTAATATGCATAAAAATAATGTATTATGACAGAGAGGGTTGTTTTCAAGAATGCAAGGTTGTGCCAATATTCCAAACACAATCAATATAATTCACCATAATACTACAAAAAATTTTTTAAAGCACACAATTATACCAGCAAAAGCATCTGACAAAGTCTAAAACATATGAGCAAAAATTCAAGATGATGGCAGCAGACATTTCATAAGAAATATGGCTAAATGCCAAAGTTAAAGGTGGGCACTGATGTAATGTGAAATGTGAAAAATGCCAAATCCTTGCAAGTTGTCAACTATACATGCAATTCCTTATAACAGACTTAATTACTTAGGGCTAATTAAGATGTGGTTTGGAAAAGGTAGTCTGATTTCAACATTAATATGCCTACTCACTGTACTTGTACTTGGGCTAAAGTGAAAAGTAATTCTTACATATTGAAAATACTTAGGTTAGAATAAATTGCACTTGGACCAATTTGCTAAGGAAGGTAGCAGTTATTATTTCTGATATACTACAAATAAATCTTAAGATCTCCTGACAAGGAAGACATATTATATTCATTCTTTTTCATTTTAATGTTTATTTATGTGTCTGTGTGCACGACTGTGCACAAGAATGCAGAGCCCCAGTATGCAGAGGCATCAGATCCCCTGCAACTAGAGTTACAATATAGCAATTGTGAGGCCCTAGATATAGGGATTGGGAACTGAACTCAGATCCTCTAGATGAGCAGCAAGCGCTCTTAACTGCTGAGTCATTTTCCATCCCATGTATTCACTCTTACACTCAATAAATACTAAATATTTACTGAGCTCTATTATGAGTCAAACACTTGCCTAGATACCAGGAATCAAATGTGAGGGGAGGGATGGAAGGCAGAGGAATGGGGGAGGGGGATAAGAAGGGAGAGAGGCAAGGGAGAAGGGATATCCAAGCCTCATTGAGTTCAGAAAGACAAAAATATATTAAGCGGGTATCACGCTAGTAATAAATACTACAGAGAAAAATAAAGCAGGAGAGGGGACTGAATGTACTAGGTGTGATTTTCAATTGGGGTTATTAGGGAACCAGATGATTTCTAGGTTCACTTTCAGTTCAAAAATCCCTTGACTTTCTTCTGTGTAGAGTAGGCAGCATAAAAACACACAGTGAACCTTTGAACCTGACCTCGTTAAACTCATACATTCTATCACCTTACTCTGTGTGTCACCACTTATATTTTAGAAAAACAGGATTAAACATACATTTTTCCACACTGAGACAAAGCATATGCTGTCACTTAATGAAGCAAGTAATTTCCCAGTCTGGCTGTGGGAGAGGAAGATAATAAAAAACCTAGCAATTTCTCTCTAGACAAAGGTTCTAAAAATGCAGCATTTCTGTGCATTACAGAAAGGATTGAAATTAGTTTCTCTTCCTCCTCCGTCCTGGAACTTGGTTTTTCATTTACCCTAAGTTACAGCACAAAAGGTGGTTTAAGTCCTGTCTCTAGCATGCAAGATTTTCTACAGATGAAGAAAGCCCTGGGAACAAACAAATCATTACTACTGCCATGCAGTCACCACTGTGCACGCGGTCCATGCCAGCACAGCACTATTTTATGCAAGCAGGTGAGCTGTATCAAACCGCCACCTGCAGGCCAGTGTCAGCAATTTTCTGCAGCTTGAACCAAAGCATAAACTCAAGTCTCAAGAGACAGACGTGTGTAGGCGGCCACCCCGATTTTTCTCTGTAACTCCTTCAGTTCACAACTATGCTCAACAAATCTTCAACACAAAAAGTACTTCTGTGTGAGGATGTAAAGGCCCTTTGCCAAAGCTGATGTGCAAATGACAGCTGGAATACACTGCGTATCTGAGACAATTTTACTGTGATTTCATGTAAATATGTGAATTTTAAGCATTTTATAACCCACAGCACAAACCTCATTGAAAGCTGTTTCAGTCATGTGGCTTCATTAGAAGAAAGGTTTAATTTCTTAATCCAATCTGCTTACAGAGACAAAATATTCATTTCAAAACTGACTAGGGGCTAGAGAAATGGATCAGTGGTTAAGAACACTAGCTGCTCTTACTAGAGGACCTGGGTTCAGTTCCCAGCACCCACATGGAGGTTCACAACCATCTGTAACTCCAGTTCTAGGGACTCAGATGCTCTCTTCTGCCCTCTACATACGCTGTAAATATGGTGCACATACATGCATACAGGCAAAACACTCACACACATAAAATAAAAAACAACAAAGAAACAAAATTGACATTCTTTTTTCTCTTCTAGGAAGACTATAAAGCAATATTAAATTATACTACAATCTGATTCTGTTCATCTAGATTGAGATTTCAATTTCCTAGGAAATGCCTCACAGAAAGAGCATTTCTCAAAACATAATACTTTCCACAAATCAACCCATTATGTGCAAACCTAATAATTTTAAAATTCATCTTTTAAAAATAGATTAGTCCTCAGTGAATATGGTCAAAGTACAGGAAAAACTTGTAAGACACAGCCCTTATTAAGCCCAACCCTATGTACATGCGCCAATAAAAGAGAGATCTTTACACTTATTTACTTATTTATTTATTTAATTATTTATTTTGTATGTGTGTGTACATGCTATGAAAGGCAGAGGACAACTTGCAGGAATGGGTTCTTGCCTCCCACCATGTGGGTTCCAGGGATTGAACTTAGGTTGTTGGTCTTGGTGACAAGCACCTTACTAGCTGAGTCATCGCACGAAGTCCAATAGTTTTGTTTTGTTTTTTATTAAAATGTTTTTTATTATTTCAATATTTTATTATTACTTATGGATTCTTATGTGTATGACTGTACTGTCTGTATATATGTAAGTATACCTGTGTCATGCAATGCCCGTGGAGGTCAGGAGAGAGCAACAAATTCCCCTGGAACTAGGGTTATGGATGGTTGTTAGCTGCTACCATGTGGGTGCTGGGACTCAAACCTAGGTCCTCTGCAAGAGCAGTCAGTGCTCTTAACTGTTGAGCCATCTCTTCAGCCCCTTTTTAAATAAATATTTTATTTATTATTTTTATTTCATGTGTATGAGTGTACTGCCTGCATGTATGTAAGTGCACCTGTCATGCAATGCCCACGGAGGTCAGAAGAGGTCAGACACCCTGGAACAGGAGTTATGGGTAGCTGTTAGCTACCATGTGGGTGCTGGGAACTGAACCTGGGTCCTCTCTAAGAATAGCCAGTGGTCTTAAATACAGAGTCATCTCTCCAGCCCCAAGTTTTTTTTCAAGTAGATTAGTCCCTATAGAGCATTTTTCCTTTTTCCTTCCTGCTAGCTATTTTTCATTCACTACGCAGTTCAGGTTTAGAGTTTACATTTTTTACATCTATAAAACATTAATAAAATAGTCTGCTAATCATCTAAATAATTATATGATC